GGGGTGGGGTGGGGCGGGGGGGAAGAGAGTGAGAGAGCAAGGGGGGTGGTGGGAGAGAGAGAGAATGTTTCTTTCAGCCCAGAGGGCTTCCATGAGCAGAACGGGGGAAGGAGACAGGTTGCCCTTTGGTCAGACTCTAATGTGGAGGGTCTTGTCTAGGGCTCTTCTGTGGCTGAGGGTGGCTGGGGGTGCTCAGGAGCCAGGAGGGAAAGGTGGGGTGCACAGGCCCGCAGTCGGTTTGCTCTGCACCTGGCATCACCCAGCTGGTCCTAACCACCTTCCCTGCCCCCTCTGGCAGCCCAGAGCTGGGGCGCGCTAAGCCCTGTGCCAACACTGCCCCGGCCCCGCCCCCCACTGCCCCGGCCCCGCCCCCACGCCTGCCTTCCCGCCTCTCCCGCGCCGCCCGCGCAGGGCCAGCCGCCACCTGGAACATGGGGTAGGTGAGGAAGGTCTCGAGCGTCCTCTCCTCGCAGTCCGGCTTGGCCTCGTAGTGCTTCAGCAGCTTGTCGAAGTCGCGGTTCTGCTTGCAGTGGGCCAGGATCTGCAGGCTGTACTGGTGGTTGCGGACGAACTCTTGGTAGATGTTGAGCATGGGCAGCAGGATATCAAACAGGTCCGCTGGAAGGACGGGGCAGGGCGGTCCGTGGTGGCCGGGGCATCTTGCTGGAGACAGCACTTCCGAGGCCCCCAGCTCCCCAGCTACACCCAGAGAGGCCAGGGGCCAGTTTCAGCTTCCCCACCAGAGACATCTCTGCTCTTGGGGATGACCCCAGCACACTGCCCTATCCACTGCCGGTAGGTGGGCCCCCGTCATTGGGACCATATTAGAATCACAGACCCTCAGAGACAGGGCGGGGGCGTGTGTTTTGTCTGACATTTGTGATGTGAGTGTCAGAGACAGGAGGTAGACTGGGCACTGTGGGGTGCCGGTGCCACCTGGATGCCCCCAGCTGCCAGGAGTGCTGGTGGCCGATGGCTCTCAGCTGGGTCCCTCTCCAGGGATTGCTCTCAGCTGGAGGAAGCTGCCTTGCCTGGGCTGCCCCCTCTCCCACTTCAATTCAGGACATCAGTGTGACGCCACTCCTTCTCCAGCGCTTCCTGCGGGTCAGGGTCAGCCGAGGCTTCTGTTGCATAGCGGCCTGGTTCCTCCCTCTGCCTGCCCCTGTGCCCTGTGATGTGATGGCCTAGGACACTCCTCAAGAGGCCCCCCTCCCTCTTGGAGTCTCCGTCCTGAGACAGGAGTGGCCTATCTGAGGTCACAGGGGAAGTCGGCAGCTGGCCTGGAGCTGGGTCTCCTGATCACCTCCCCCACCCGCCCCCACTCCTCCATTCCAGGGCTTTTCTACCATATGACACATGAGTCTCTGCTCCTTCGTCCATATGTCATTGTCCCAGCAGGCCTTCCTGGCTCTGTGTCATCTAGTTCACTGGGTGTTTGGCAGGGCCCTGGGTAGGGCCTGTGGCTCTAGTTCTGTTTCGAGCTTCCTGGGTATATAATCTGCCTTTCCAGTGCCCCCAAGTCCCGACCAATCTCCTCAAATCTTTGCCCTTCAACATTGGATAGGCTGGGATGGGGTCATGTGAAACGCCTTCTTTATCTTTTTTTTTGATAGAGTCTTGCTCTGTTTCCCAGGCTGGAGTGCAGTAGTAGTCCCGGCTCACTGCAACCTCTGCCTGCGTTCAAGCGATTCTCCCACCTCAGCCTCCCAAGCACCTGGGACTGCAGGTACGGACCACCATTCCCAGCTAATTTTTGAATTGTTGTGTTTTTTACAGAGATGGAGTTTCACCATGTTGGCCAGGCTGGTCTTGAACTCCTGACTTCAAGTGATCTGCCTGCCCTGGCCTCCCAAAGTGCTGGGATTACAGGCCACTGTGCCTGACCTTGAAACACCTTTTTTTTTTTTTTGAGATAGAGTCTCATTCTGTTGCCCAGGCTGGAGTGGAGTGCAAGGGTGCAATCTCAGCTCACTGCAGCCTCCGCCTCCTGGGTTTAAGCGATTCTCCTGCCTCAACCTCCTGAGTAGCTAGGACTACAGGTATGCACCATCATACCTGGCTAATTTTTGTCATTTTAGTAGAGACAGGGTTTCACCATATTGGCCAGGCTGGTCTCAAACTCCTGACCTCAGGTGATCTGCCTGCCTCAGCCTCCCACAGTGCTGGGATTACAGGTGTGTGTCACCGTGCCTGGCCTAAACATCTTCTTACAAGCCTCATTTAAGAAAGAAAACATGTAATCAACTCTGAATGGGAGCTCATGTGATGGGTGACCGCCTACCTGATGGATAGTGTCTTCAACAATACAACTGCAGATGCAGATCCTATCTTTCTAAGGACGCCTCTGATTCTGACCCTAGAGAAAGGGTCTTTGACTTGAGAAAAACAATAGTGCCTACCCCATCTGGGAAGCCTCCATGCCTGAGGGGAGGGGAGCTCTGTGTAGCCTGAGGGGAGGGGAGATTTGTAGAGCCTGAGAGGGAAGCTCTGGAGAACCGAGCCTGGGCCTGCTTTGTGCCCTCCACCTATGCAGCCTTTGCTGTCCCTTTACTTCCCTAAGCCATTTTCTTTTTTTTTTTTTTTTGAGACAGAGTTTTGCTCTTGTTACCCAGGCTGGAGTGCAGTGGCGTGATCTCGGCTCACCGCAACCTCTGCCTCCTGGGTTCAAGCAATTCTCCTGCCTCAGCCTCTCGAGTAGCCGGGACTACAGGCACGCGCCACCATGCCCAGCTAATGTTTTGTATTTTTAGTAGAGACGGGGTTTCACCATGTTGACCAGGATGGTCTTGATCTCTTGACCTCATGATCCACCCGCCTCGGCCTCCCAAAGTGCTGGGATTATAGGCGTGAGCCACCGCACCTGGCCCCCTAAGCCATTTTCTTTGCCTCCATAGTGGAGGTGACACCAATACTTATCTTGATCTACCAAATTAAGAAAGTGAAAAAAAAAGACATTTGGTTCAGGTCGAGGGTGAAATGCAGGAGGTTCTTCTGTCTATTGCTTGTGAAACTTACAGCAGTGTAGCCATCTTGGAAAACAACTGGATGTAGGAAGCAAGAGCCTTTTACATGTTTGCATTCTGTGTTTTAGCAGTTCTGCTCATTGGAAACCTATCCCAAGGAAATAATCTCTAACATGGAAAAAATTTCTTATGAAGAGATGATTATTTCTAATAACAAAAAATTGGAAAGCTCTTAAGAGCCAATCGTGGCAGATGGTTGGATAAATGACAGTGCCTTCATGGGCACTGGAGTATTACACAGTGATCAAAAAGCATGCTTTTGGCAGGAGAAAATGCTTATGTGATAATGCTAAGTAAGAAAAAAAACACAACACACTAAGATACAAATTCTATATTCAGTATGTTTGCAATTATGTAAAGTGGAAAAAAACCCAGGATCTATGCACAGAAAAAATGGGAAGAAAACACACCAACGTGTTTATAGTGGTTATCTTTGGGAAGCAGAACTATGCTTGATATTTTTAAACATTTTTACTTTTATGGGTTCTCAATTTTTCTGAAATGGATGTGTATACATTCCTTATAAAAGGGGAACGTGGATAGGAAACTAAAAATATATCATTTCCTCTTAGAAATACAGCGTTTGCCAACTTGTCTTTTCTCTTCTGCCCCCCCACCCCGCCGCCCCCCGAGGGATTCTGTGGGTTTTAAAGAGGGACACAATTATGCGCTAGAGGGACAGAACTGCCCCAGCCTTTTGGGGTGGCCCCTGGAGGGGGACTTCTCTGGGGGCCTCGGTGAGGGGTGGCTACTCACCCAGGACCAGCGTGGGCCAGCTGGAGATGCGAGCCTTCAGGCCTTGGTAAAAGATCTGATGCAAAAACATGATGGTTTCACTGAAAGAGAAAGCACAGGGTCACCTCTGTCCAGGGACTTCCTGCTCCTCCAGAGGCCACTGTCCCCAAACCTCCTGGGATTTCAGCAGCAAGCCCTTTTCTCACATGAGACCTTATGTGAAAACTGCATGGGGAGGACAGATGATAGTATCTGGGGGCCTGGTGCTAAATGAGAATGCAGGCCCCTTGTTAAAGAATTACTAAGCATTTCCAGATGGTGACAGCAGAGCATGAAATCAAGCCCAGGCTCATCTATGAATGAGGTGGTGCACCCACGGGGCCCGCGGAGGGCGGGGAGCCGCTCTGGCCGGTGGCCTCTGTGTGTCCTCAAGTCCCACCTGCTGGGCCCCATACCCCCTCCCCGGAGGTATCTTGGAGGAACCCATGGCGAACATGAGTAAAAGGTACGGATCAACATGAGAAGGGCTGGAGTTGGGAGTAGCACATAGAGGGACTCAAATCTGCCTTACGCCCCTTCCTGGCTGTGAGACCCTCAATAAGATACCTAAGGTCTCCCAGCCTCGAGTCCTTCTGTGTAAAACATGAAGGTGCAATGAGGAAGACCCTGCAAGCAATGGGACAATTCAAGTGCCCAGCACATGCCAGGTGCTCAGCAAACGCTAGTTTCCCAACACCTGGCAACCACCCCCGTGTTTTGGAATAAAAGTCAGAAAGCCAAAAGACCCAGAGGCCCCCTGCTTGCAAAGCCCCTGCTTTGTCACCACACAATGTGATGAACATGTGTTCTCGTTGGCAGATTAGCGCCGGCTGGGTGCAGGCAGCCACAGTTGCCGGGTCCTCCCCCCCACCCACTTTCCCACCCACTGCTCCCCAAGCAGCTGGTCCCAGAACACAGCCTGGGCGCCTCCTCTCCCAGGACAAGCTGTGAGGACACAGAGAACTCCAGAGAGAGCCGGCTTGTGCTGCCTCCTGAAGGCACCCCCATTCCTTCCTGCCAAGCCATGTGGCCCCCCTCTTTCCAATCTTACCCTCTTGCAGACCTGGGGGCTTCCCCCAGGTGCCACCTTGGTTCTTTGTGGTACACTCCATTTACAGATAGGGAAACTGAGGCCCGGAGAGGGAGAGTGAGGACCCGCGGGGTCAGGGGCAGCCCTGAGCCTTTGGGCTGGCCTCTCTCTCTCTCTGGAATGTTCTCTTGTCTTTCTTTGGCGGTCTTCTCCTGGGTGTGTTCTGGGCTCCCTCCCACCTCTTCTGTTCCTTTAGTGTTTTGTTTGGCTGTTTGAGGCACCCGGTGTTTCCCACCTTGGGGTGCTGCCCTTCTCCCAGTAGTGTGTGCTCTGAGGCAGCCCTCCTCCATCTCACTGTCTGAGCACGAGAGCAGAGGGTGGAAGACAACTGGTAAGCACAGAGATGCTCTAGCATCAAGGCGATGGGGGTAGGGCATGGGGCCCAGTGGATGGAGGAGGCTCAGACGTCAGAGACTCAGGACCCCAGAGGGATGAGAAATGTCCTGTGCATGCCTGCTCTGCAGAGAAACAGGTAGGGCGGGGAGAAAGGGGCTGTGAGAGGGATAGCGAGAGAGAGAAAGGGGTGAAGGAGGGAAGAAAGAGGGAGGAAGGAAGAAAGGGAGGGAGGGAGAACGGAACAGAACACAACGCTTCCAGCTAAAGGGCGAAACTAGCAACCGCATTCCACAGAATACACAAACTTAGCAATCCACGCAGAAGAGACTTTGAACTCTCATTTCTGAGTGTGGATCCCATCATTATTGTGAATTGTCCATCATCTCCCTAAAGTCCCAAGAGAAAGAAAGAGAAAGAAATTGTCACCTCCCTCAAGCACCGCCTCTGGGCGTGGCAATATCTTACGACCCTTGGCAAGGCTGGTTTCTCTGGCTCTAAAACCCAAATGAGTTTGTTGAATGGATAAACATGTTCCAATGTTAAGAACTTTGGGAGTCCACATGTGAAGACCCTTCAAAATGTCCAACAGCAAGAGATCAACCCAGGGGTGCATGAGAGTGTACGGAGGGCAGAATGTCTGCCTTGAGGTGGGAGGCATGGGGGTCAGGTCAGGGGACTTACAGGGGTTCTTGGGGGAGCCATATTAGCAGCTCTCCCCCATCTTTTTGGTGCCAGGGGCTGGTTTTGTGGAAGAAAATCTTCCCACAGATGGATGGTGAGGAGGGGGTGCGCTGGGGGCATGGTTTCGGGATGATTCAAGTGAACTACATTTATCGTGCGCTTTATTCTATTATCATTATTATTTTTGAGGCAGGTTCTTGCTCTGTCACCCAGACTGCAGTGCAATGACACAATCTTGGCTAACTGCAATCCCCTCCTTCCGGGTTCAAGCGATTCTCCAGCCTCGGCCTCCTGAGTGGCTGGGATTACAGGTGCACACCAGCATGCCAGGCTAATTTGTGTATTTTTAGTAGAGATGGGGTTTCACCATGTTGGCCAGGCTAGTTTCAAACTCCTGGCCTTAAGTGATCCACCTGCCTTGGCCTCCCAAAGTGCTGGGATTATGGGCATGAGCCACCATGCCCAGACTATTTCTATTATTATTACATTATAATATATAATGAAATATTATGCAAGTCACCATAATGTGGAATCAATGGGAGCCTTGAGCTTGTTTCCTGCAACTAGATGGTCCCATCTGGGGATGATGGGGGACAGTGACAGATCATCAGGCATTAGATTTTCAAAACGAGCATGTACTCTAGATGCCTCACATGCGCTGCTGACAACAGGGTTTGTGCTCCTATGAGAATCTAATGCTGGGGCTGATTGACAGGAGGCGGAGCTCAGGTGTGATATGAGCAATGGGAGTGGCTACAAATACAGATGAAGCTCAGCCCACTCACCTGCTGCTCACCTCCTGCTGTGCAGTTCAGATTCCAACGGGCCACAGACCAGTGTTACTCTGTGGCCAGGGGGTTAGGGACCCCTGAGACATAGGATCTTGACTTATATCTAGATCCTTCTAGATAACCCTGAGTACTGCCATGGCAAGACTTAGGAAAGCCATTCGCAGACAGCTTCAGCAAAGCAGACAACCGTTTAGGATGGACCAGGGAGGAAATGAACCTTCTTATATCCAAGTACTGCACATGCCTGTGTAGCAGCATATCAGGAACATTATAAGCTAGAATTATGCAAATATAGTTGATGAAGCCTCCATTTCTAAAGTGAAATTTAAAGAATCCCACTATACAGAAATTACTATTCTTGTCCATTCAACTAAAAAACATGATCTCATTTTGACTTGATTTGCTTAAAAAAATCAAATTATCAATGGGTTGGTTGAACATTTTTCTTATATATTGGCCATTTGTATTTCTCTTTAAAAAATTGCCTAGTTCATTGCTATTTATCTCTCTCATTAATCTTTTCTCTCATTAATTTTAAATAACTCTCTACGTTAAGTCTGTAGTCTGACGTCTGTGTTGTGGACATCTTTGGTCAGCTATCTGCCTGTTGATTTTGTGTCTGGTGTTATTCTGAAGTTCTTCCTGTTTTCCTTGTAAGGTGGACCATTTTCTTTCTGCTTGGCTTGGAGAACCATGTCTTTCCTCATCCTAGGCTGCTTACACACTCACGTATATACTATTTTCTTGTTTCATTTTTTACATGTAAACACTTAACTATTGTTTGCCTTGGTGTACAATATGAATGAGGGAGATAGATATAGCCTTTCTCTCAGTTTAGTTAGCCAATTGTCAAGCCTGTTAATCAACGATACCAGCTGTTTGCGAGGCTGGTTTTTCACAGTTACTGAATTCTTGCCAGGCGAGGTGGCTCATGCCTGTAATCTCAGCATTTTGGGAGGCTGAAGCAGGTGGATCACTTGAGTCTGGTCACTATAGGGAGACCCCATCTCTACAAAAAATTAAAAAAATTAGCTAGCCATGGTGGTATGCACCGGTAGTCCCAACTACTCAGGAGGCTGAGAGGGTGGCTTGAGCCCAGGAGGCAGAAGTTGTCAGTGAGCTGAGATCGCATCACTACACTCCAGCCTGGGCAACAGAGGGAGACCCTATCTCAAAAAAAAAAATTATAATATATGCTTAAGTCTCTTTCTGGACTTTCTATTTTATTTTGTTGATCTTGGATTAGTTTTAGTTTGTTTTCATGACTTATATTTATAAGCCTTTATGTTTTAATTACAGGTAGGGAATTCTTTTATTTATTTATTTATTTATTTATTTTTTACTTCGATTGGCATTAGATTATATGAAATTTACAGAATATTTTGGGTGGAATGACATCTTCATGACACACACCTTTTCATCCAGGGTGCTGGTGTGTCTCTCTACCTTGCTAGGTCTTTGCTGAAGCCTCATCACAGGGGTCCTGTGTTTATTCCTAGACAGTTTGTGTTTTTGTTGCTATTTCTCATAGCATATTTCCTAAGTGGTTGCTGTAGATATAAGGAAAAGATACCGATTTTGCCTTTCTTTTTTTTTTTTTTTTGAGACAGGGTCTTGCTCTGTCCCCCAGACTGGACTGTGGTGGTATGATCTCGGCTCACTGCAGCTTCGACCTCCTGGGCTCAAGCAATCTTGCCACCTTAGCCTACTGAGAAGCGGGACCACAGGTGTGCACCACCATGGCCTCCTAATTTTTAAGTTTTCTGTAGAGATGGGCTCTCCCTATGTTGCCTGGACTGGTCTTGAACTCCTGTGCTAAAGCAATCCTTCTGCCTTGAAAGTTCTGGGATCACAGGCATGAGTCACTGCGCCCAGACTGATTTTGCTTATATTTTAACAACATGAACTCCTAATAATTTTTAGGAGTTTTTCTGTTGACTCTGACCTCAGGTCTAGAGCTGGTTTTCTTTCTTCTCTTCTCATTAAATAGCAGCCCTTCCCACTGCCCTCTCAGACAGAACCTGGGGGTCACCTGTCACCTCTTCCTCCTTCACCCCTATATCCACTCCATCAAAGCTGCTGATTCTGCCACCCCTGTCACCTCTGCCTGCACCATTGTCAGTGGGCCCCTAATTGGACTTTTGCTTCCACTCTTGTCCCTGGTCCACCCATTCTCCATAGAGTGGATTCATCTCTTAAAAATGGAATCTGATCAGGTGGAGTGGCCTTAACTTGGCCTTCAATGCCCTGCAGGAACTGCATCTATCTGTCTTGTGGGTTACTCCCTCTTACCTATTTCCCTGTTATCCCTCTGGTCTTCTGTTCCCTAAATTTTCTTTCTTCTGCCTCAGGGCCTTTGCACAGGCCATTTACTTTGCTCTCACTGCTTCTTTTACTGGCATAGCTCTTTTATTTATCAGAGCGAGAGCAAGAGCTAGGGAGTGACAGAGTCTGTGCACACACAAATGTGCCATTTTTGAAAGCAAGTTTTCGTAAAAAAAAATTGGAAAGTTTTCTACTTTTTTTTCTATGTTCTTTAACAGTTTAAATAAAAATGATTGATTCTTTTAAAATGCCAAGTTCGTTGTGACTCTCTAAGGGTAATATACCACGCACCTTTCCCAAATCTACACGACCCTTTGAAGGTGGAATACCCAATATCTTGCAGAACTAGAGTTTCATTCATTCATTCAGCACTTAGTTACTGAGTAACCACTAGGTTTCAGGCACTCGGTCAGACAATGGTTTCCCTGCGTCTAACTCCAACAATGATAAAAACAGAAACAGTTCCCGTCAAGGCTGCTGGGGGCACAATTCTAGTGGGCACCATTCACAGCCTAGTGTATGTCAGGGGTTGACAAACCACAACCCATGGGCCAAATCTAGCAAAGCCACTGTTTTTGTATAGCCTGAAAGCTTAGAATAATTTTTTATATTTTTAAATGGTTGCAAAAAAGAGAAAAGTTTTATTGTAATATAGCCACACTGATTTGTTTTTGGCTTATCTGTGACTGCTTGGTTGTAACAGAGATGGTGTGTCCCACAAAGTCTAAAACATTTACTTTCTGGCTCTTTACAGAAGAAAGTCCACCCGCCACTGTGCAATATGAATGGTGGCCCTAGAATTGTGCAGTGCACCACTGGTGCAGCTGTAATCTATGGCCCTGTTCCTGTACCCACTCACATTGAGCAGTTAGGGTTAGAGTCCCCCTCCACATGGGAGAGGGGCTGAACTTCCTGAGACAGACCTGACCATGACAGTCTCTGGCTGAAATGTCTAATGCCTCTTTCCTGCCTCCAAGATCAAGTCCCACTCTCACCTTTAGGCCTTCACACATGCTGTTCTCTCTACCTGGAAAGTCCTTTCCTCCTCCTTCCCCTGTATACTCTCTTGTGTCCTTAAAGACCACCTCCTCCAGGAAGCCTCTTTGGTGGTTCTCTCACATTTCATGGTAAACATCTGGTGGATCATTTGACTCGATGGTGGGGTTTGCATGGTTCACTCTGTATACATGAACTCAGCATGCAGCAAGGCACTCTGTGTTGCCTGTTTGTTGAATGAGCAAGTGGATGAGTGTCCTTGCCTTTGGTGGGGCTGCTGGCGAATCATTCCTTCCATCCCGAATCATTGCTGGGGCCCCACCCTATGGACTGCCTTGTATTGACAACTGAAAGGGGAAAACAGATTTGGGTAAATCTTTCCACTTGCCCTGCTAAAGGATTCATGGGTCGATCTTGAGGTCTATCCTGTTTATTTTTAAGGTCACTGTTGGAAATATCAGCTTCATGAAAAGGCAAAATCCCCCTTTCCTCCTTCTCATTTGTTCTGCATTAAAGGTATCTGACCTGATCTATTCAGTTCTTTAAACATAAAAATATAAAACCATGTTGTGATTTCTTTTTCTGAACAACATTTGAACAAATGCTGTGAGCTGGCATGAATACTCTCTATCAAAGATTCCAGGTCAAAAGAATTCTATTTCACATCAATCAACGAAGTACAGTAAAATTACGAAAATGTAACAAACACAAAAGGGCACCACTTAGTGATGATGATAAATGGTCACCAGAAGTTTGCAATGGCAGCCTAAAATGCAAAAAAAAAAAAGTATAAACAACATAGAACCATACCACTGCTCCTGAAGTGAACCTCAAATAAGGAGTCATAGTGGAGATAAACAGGCAGCCACCTCTGTTTATCTCCAGCTTCCCATTTTGGTGCCATCTGGGACAGTAGCAGCAGCAGTACCTGCAAGCTTGTTGGAAATGCAGTCCCCTGGGCTCCACCCAGACCTACAGATGGGCTTGTGTTTGAGAATCTGTGAAGTCAGCTGAGCTATCCAGGGTTTGCTCAGCAAGGAACACGTTCTTCCTATTTTTCAGCCACATTCCAGGTCACTGAATCTAAACAACCCACTTGGAGTTTCTGGGTTAAGTGTTACCTGATTTCACTCACACACACACAAAATTCATTTTTTTTTGTTTTAGTCAATGCACAAAAGCATTTATTGAATGTTTAAAAACCTGATCAACATTCCTATTAAAAAGCAACCTTGTGGAGTCCCATGATTCAGTCTTGAAAAGGTCTCATGAGGCCAAAAGCTATTTTCCTCCTTCTGCCTGCTTCTCTCCCTTTCCTTTTCTCTCTCTCTCTCTCTGTCCCCCATATTCTGATGCCTTGTCCACATCTATGGTGTCAACCTGTCCCACCTCAATGACTTTCAGTGTCTTCAGCCCAGTCTCTCACCTGAGCCTCAGACCCATGTCTGACTCATGACCTCATCCATTCCCCACCCCAGGGTGGCCCACAGTCCCCTCACACTCAGCACATCACACTATCAGGGAAAGGGGGAGGGCACAGGGAAGGTGGCCCTGGGTCCCAAATATCCATGCAGAAGGTCTGGAGAAAAGGCTGGTTGAGATTAGTGAAATGACTGAATGCTGGATATTTGAAAAGAAATGTAGTTGAATGAACATCTAGGGAAACATAATGATTTACTTTAATTCTTAGATGACATTCCATTGTAAATAGCACACTGTTTATATGTCTTCATTTTTGTTGCTCTTATCTAGTTCATACAATTTTTTTTTGAGATGGAGTTTCGTTCTTGTTGCCCAGACTGGAGTGCAACGGCATAATCTTGGCTCACCACAACCTCTACCTCCTGGGTTCAAGTGATTCTCCTGCCTCAGCCTCCCGAGTGGCTGGGATTACAGGCATGTACCACCACACCTGGCTAATTTTGTATTTTTAGTAGAGATGGGGTTTCTCCACGTTTGTCAGGCTGGTCTCGAACTCCCGACCTCAGGTGATCTGCCCACCTTGGCCTCCCAAAGTGCTGGGATTACAGGTGTGAGCCACTGTGCACAGCCTAGTTTATATAATTTTATCACCCACCAGAAAGCTCATTTAAATAATTTCCTAGGAAAATCCTTTTAAAAAGAAGACGACAGCAGAAGAGCGGCTGTCAGCGCAGCCTTCTGAGGAACTACAAGCCCCAATTACTGTGAGGGTCACCATCTGGGAGAAGTGACTTCTTTGTAAGGCATGCGGATAACGTGGTCCACAGCAGAACTCTAAGACACCTGAGAATTCTAAATTTCAACCTGGCCTCCGGGTCATTATGATGGTATCAAGGTGGAAGAATAAGGTATTTTATGTTTTGTAGTTCGGTTTATAACTCTTAGACATTGAAACCAAGGTTCCTTAACTGTGGCATTACTGACATTTTGGGTGGAATAATTCTTTGTTGGTAGGGGACCATCCTGTGTATTGTAGGATATTGACCAGCACCTCGCCTCTGCCCATGAGATGCCAACAGCAACGTCCCTCAAGTGGTGACAATCAATGGTGTTTCCAAACATTCCCAGTGTCCCCTGGGGAGCAAAACTGCCCCAGTTGAGACCCACTGGTTTAGACCTATACTTTAGGAGCCTACATTTGTCCCCCTGCCCCGGACCCCACATTTTTGGGGTTGGTGGTTTGTAGCCACGTAATCTCGGGCACGTCTGTCCTGTCTGGGCCTCATCTGCACTCGGCGGGAACTACATGAGAGAGCGTGTCAAAGCTGAGCTGCGGCCACTGCCCACTAGGCTCCTTCCCGCCTTGGCCAACTTCTAGGGGTGCTCACCTGTTCAGGAAGATGCTGCTGACGTCGTCATGCGTGATGGGCGGCTTCTTGGAGCTGGCAGCCATCCGCAGCGGGCGCAGGAAGTTGTTGACGAGGATGTGCAGCTGCTGCACGTACTCGGCCTCGGCCTCCAGCATGCTGAACACCACCTGGTTCCGCTTGCGCATGCTGTCGGCGTGGGGGGACCGGATGTAGTCCTGGATGATGGTCTTCCACTTCCGCCGGCACAGCCAGCCGCGCAGGAAGCTCTGCACCTGCGCAGCAAGACCGGCGCGGGAGGGGCCTGTCAGGGAGGCCGGTCCACGCCTGTCCGTGCAGGCTCTGAGCTCCCCCAGGGCAGGGACCAAGGCTTTGTTCTTCCCACGACCGGCCTGTGGCGAAGCGAGCGCAGCTGTGGCCCGAGCCTGGCTCTGCAGCCCACGTAATACAGGGCAAGTTGTTTGGTTGACCTGAGTCAGTTTTCCCTTCTGTGAAATGGGGCTAAGGAGATGATGGCTGCATGGAAAGTGTGGTCCACAAACTGGACCAGCATCTCTGAAGAGCTTGTTGGAAATGCCGATTCTCAAGCCCCGCCCCAGACCTCTGCAGTTCAACAAGACCCTGGGATGCTTTGGAAGCATTCACTGGAGGAGGAGCCATGTGGCTCCACGTCTCCGTCCTAACTGGAGGTCGCCCGAGGATGAAGGGTTGCAGGGCTGCACGGGCGCGGCTCATGCCTAGTCTTGTCTAATGACTTGCCTGAAAGCCCAGAAGTTTCCATTAAAGCTCTTCTGGATAGAGGGTGATTATCAAATTGAACAGAACATGGAAAATTAGTTAATCTCATCCTTAGCTCTCATCAGCGGCTTCTGAGTCCTGGGGCCTGCCTGGAGCCTCTCCTCCTGACTCAGTAGGGAAATGAACAGAGACACTTAACTCAGTTGCCTGGGAGCTGGGCTGCTTGGAGTGGCCTCGTGTTGGTAAGAACTTGGGAAAGGGCCTTAAGTCACATATGCATGGAGAGTTGTTTTAAGCTGTACAGGCTTCCAATCAAGGGGCCCTCGAGCTATGTGCAAACTCCCGGTCCACACTGGGAGGAAGGGTACTGGGATGAGCCACTGGGGACCAGGCAGAGGTGCTTATGCAATATTCTCCACTGAAAGGGTCACGGTCTCCGAACAGCAGGCACAGGTGTCCAGGTGCAGATCTGCTGGCTAGGGATGGGTGCTGTGGAGAGCAGAGGCCTGCCCAAGCCCCAAAAGCTATCTCTGAAGGTAGAAAGGGTTTTCTCAAAGATGGAGGTGCTTACTCTGAGGTTCCAGGAGGGTGAAAATAGAGCAATGGGAGGTGAATGTCAGCTGGCCTTTAATAAAATGTTCTAACCAGAATGCTCCAAATACAGGGGTGAGCTGGGAAACTCACTGGGGCCGAAGCAGAGAACTCAGATCAGGGCATCTCTGCTCAGGTCGGACTTGGCTCAGATCTGGGTGGCAATCCCAATGCCTGTGGGGCCCTGGCAGGTCCTAGGGGTGCATGAAGCTGGCTGGGGGAGTGGAGGGAATGTCATAAGACGGCACCTCTTGCCTGGGCCGGCTGCTATCTTGGGCAGGAGGTGGCCTGGGGCTGCTGGACCTTCTGCTTTTTAAGGAGACAGTGTGTCCCAGTGGTATGGCATCTGAAGCTTGGCAGCCAAGGTTGGAATGTTACCCTGTAAATACTTAACTGTGTGACCTTGGGCAAGTTCCTTTGCCTGTCTGTGTCTCAGCTTCCCCATATGTAAAATGAAAATAATAAAACCTCAGAGGATTTTAGTGAGGATAGAATTAATCTGCATAAAGCTCTTAAAATAGGGTCTGGCACATAGAAAGTAGTTAATTAATGTTAGCTATTTCTATTCCTGAGAAACCCAAAATCCAGATTTTTGTGTTATGTGTTTGCTTTTAAAGCACCGGCAACAAACTTTTAAAAATGTAAACCAAAAAAAGCCCACCGTGTAGGCTGAAAATCTCAAACACACTGGTAAGCTGAACTTGGCCCATGGGATGCCAGTGTGCAGTTTCTAGGGATGGCATTGGGGTCCTTTTTACACATTCAACAGGATTCCGTGGTTTCACCTATTTTTCTTAGGGTGAGTCAGGCTCCCCTGCCTTGAGTCTGGCAAGCTACAAACACAGGCCATGCTCCTTCCTTCTGCCACACCACCCGGGGTGGCCCATGGTATGTCACTACCTGGCCACTGAGCAGATTCCTGGTAGCTTCTGAGATGTTGGTCCCTTCTGAACTCTAATAGGGGAAAAGCAGTGAGGTCTGAAAATGGCTTGGCTATTGTGCCGTGTCTGCTGGGGACTCAGGAGGTGCTTGTGAAAGGTGGTGTGTACATGGCAGGGAGTGGCGGTGGAGAGGTGGCCCTGGGGGTCTTGGCGAGGTGCATGGCACTGTGAGGAAAGCAGTCAGCTGAGATTCCCAGGCCTGAGTTTCTGTCCTGGCTTTCCCCACTCCTCCCTCTTGTGGAATCTCAGTTTTCTTACCTATAAAATGGGGCTGAACCACTCTACCCCTTAGGGATAACCAGAAGAAATCACTTGACAAGGTGCTCTTCAGGGATAAGGGGGTGTGGGCTCTGCCTTGGAGCTGAGGTTGGGGGATGGGGGGCACACCCTGAGGACAGCGGGACTGTGGGTGGATACCGCTGAACCTGGGCTGGCTCTCAAAAGAGAGAGCTCCAAAGAGGGCCACCCAGAGGGATGCCACAGACCTTCTTAATTTTCTTGATGTCACTGTCTTCATCGTTGGGGGCGACGGTCTGGGTGGACTGGATGCGCTCATTATCCTTGAGCAGAGATGCAATCTGCAACAGAACACAGGGCAGCCAGTGAATGGCACTGGCTCCCAGAGGCCCCAGGTCTTTGGCCGGTGGCCAGCGGGCATAGGTGGCAGCCGAGCACCCTGCCTCTTCTTCCCTGAGAGCCATGATGCCACAGCTTGCAATTCTGACTCCGTGCATCCAGGTCATAGAACCAGACAGGCCCCAGACATCTGTGAGAGGCAAGCGCTGCACGGGGTGCAGGTGGACACCTGGGTTCCAGCCCAGCTGGGCTGCCACCCGGAGCGACCTTGGATGAACCCCTTCCGCTCTCGGGGCTGAAGCCACCCAATGTGTAATCTCAGAATTTGGCTTAAATCTTTGATTCTCCTCCCTACTCCCCAAACCATCAGTCCCTTTATTTTACAATTTTTGCTGTGAAAAAACACATGTAACATACAATTTACCATTTTAACCATTTTTTTTTTTTGAAACAGAGTTTTGCTCTTGTTACCCAGGCTGGAGTGCAATGGCGCGATCTTAGCTCACTGCAACCTCCGCCTCCTGGGTTCAAGCAATTCTCCTGCCTCAGCCTCCCGAGTAGCTGGGACTATAGGCATGCGCCACCATGCCCAGGTAATTTTTGTATTTTTAGTAGAGACGGGGTTTCACCATGTTGACCAGGATGGTCCCGATCTCTTGACCTTGTGATCCACCCACCTTGGCCTCCCAAAGTGCTGGGATCATAGGCATGAGCCACCATGTCCGGCCCATTTTAACCATTTTTAAGGGTATGATTTGGTGGCATGAAGGACATTCACATCTCTGTGCCACCGCCACCATCATCTACCTCCAGAACTCTTTGTTTTGTAAAACTGAAACTGAGTACCCTTCAAACGATGACTCTCCATTCCCCTGGGAACCACCATCCCACCTTCTGTGCTCTGAACTGGACCTCGCTAGGTACCTCATCTAAGTAGAATCGTGCGGTGTTTGTCTTTCTGTGACTGGCTTATTTCGTGGTGCATTATGTCCTCAAGTTTCTCCCACGTTGTAGCATGGGTCAGAGTTTCATTCCCTTTCAAGGCCGAGCAATATCCCCTCGTGTGTGTAGACCACGTTTTCTTTTTTCATTCTCCCCATTGATGGGCATCTAGGTAATCCCTTTATTTTTCAAACAAAATTGTGTCTGGATATAAATCAGAGCAGGTGGCTCTGGGCGAAGCCCCGCTGGCCTGGCTCTTTCCTTCCTGGGCAGCCCCAAAGCACCTCTCAGAATCAGAGGCCTGTTTCAATCACAACCTGCAAACTGCTGGCCTAGAAAAGTGGAACAGCTCTTTGAATATCTAGCTGCTCTAAACATCTCCATTTGCATAATTTGGGGATCACAGATGTCGACATAGCTGCAAGAACAAAACCAAGGCTTGATGCCTAGGAGAAGGTGTCCCCTAAGCTGCACAGTGGCCAGGGACCTCTAGGATTCATCCCACGGACAGGACAGTGGCGCATCCTCCCACACAGGCCTCGGTCCTTCCGGCCACTCCAATTCTGTGAGTTTTTGTTTTGTGTCTTGTAGCAGCTGCCCCCAGCACACGGACTTCCCTGTGAAAATGCTGGCATTGCCTGTCCACTCTTTTCTGTCTTTGCTGTGAGCTCTAAAGGAGAAGAGACTGCAGCTGTTTCATTGATTAATGTGCTCCTGGTGCCTAGCGCAAGGCTGGGCACTCAACACATTCTTGTTGTCTACACAAATAAGTGAATTTTTAAAAAATCAGAGCAACAGCAGCAACAAAAACATTAACCAAGGGAAAACACCGCGGTAACTAAGCCCGGCATGTCTAAAGATAGTAGCTCAGGGGATTCTACGAACACAGCCACAAAGCCCAGTGCTGTTCTCTCTTGGAAACACATGGCTTTGTCCCCTCAAGGCCATTTGCTGAACCAGAGGATGAATGGGTGCTCATAATTGAGCGAATCAAGCACTTTGAAAGTGAAATGGAACAGTTACCCGCTCTCCACTCCCTGGTTGCCAAAATTATCCCAGCCAATGATTGAAGAGTGGCTGAAAATATCTAACAGAAATAGCGTGGAGATGGGCTTTTCTCCCCACCCTCCCCCTTTTTGATCCTTTGAGAATATTTGCACATTGAAATGATGACTGATTCTGTGATCTGGAGTCTCAAGGGCTAAGGAACATGGAAGCACACGTGTGTGCACACACATGCACGTGTGCACGCACACCCTTGGACCCTGCTCAGTCGACACCTTTACCTCCGGCCTCTTCTCACCTCTGTACCAGGATGCTTTCTTTGCCAGTTTTGGGATTGGCACATAGCACCCCTTTTAACTTTAGGATGGTGATATGTGTGTGTATGTGTGCTGGGGTGGGGGCAGTGGGCTGCGTTTAAAGCTGATGGTGCGCTTCTCAGATCGAGGCATTCCAGGACATCTACTTAACAGGGACCAGGGCAGAAAATACATGCAATTAGGTCAGGCACCATGCTACATGCGCCGACAATAGTGACAATTTTGGAGTCTTTATTTAAGGATCAGACTGAGTGGGCAAAGCTCTGGAGGGCTGCGAGCCTGGGGACTCTGCAAAAGTCTTGAACTATGTCTAGTCTTGGCGCATTGCAACTAGGAGCCAATATTGGGATAGTGGTGGAGGTTACAGTAAGCTGAGATCGTGCCATTGTATTCCAGCCTGGGCAACAAGAGTGAAACTCCAACTCCAAAGAAAAGAAAATAAAAAAGAAGAAAAAGACCCCTTAAAACTGATTCCAAGGCTAAGTCTTCATTTTGAACCTTAGGAGAAAGATCTGTGCAGTTTCCTCCATTGTCAGCCTTCTAGGATCTGTGTGTTCCCACGCCAGTAAAATATTACAGCCACCTGCAAACTCCTTTGCTGCCCTTTAGGGCCTGTTTTAGCTCTCCAAATTTACTTCCAATTGCAAATGTGAGAGAAACAGCTATTAAGAAAACAAAATCATGCCAAACTGAGCATTCTAGAGGAGGGGAAGAGTCTTTCAGAGGCAGATGTTCCCTCGTTTTAGATGGTTCCTTGATGGGACTTTCTGGTAATGAAAGGGAACGCCTGACAGAATTGTTTAGAAGGGAGAGAAGAGATTAAGTTAGCAGTGGATTGATGGTTTTACTTAGTAAAGTTACAGGTGCGTCGGCATGATCTCCTGTCACAGCAATGGCTAGGGGTGGGGACCACAGGATGGAGAGTACAGACGGAGAAGAGATAGTCCAGCTTCAGGGATGCGTGGCCTGTGCAATCTCACAGAGCCCCAGGCTTACAAGGGCCCAATGGTTGGTTTAAGCTTCTGTAATCGCTGTCTTGAAGTTTTTAAGGGGGTCACATTTCCTTTTGCACTGAGCCCTGCAAATTACATAGCTGTCGTGAAAAAAGTTGCAGACAACGATATAATGGTAAATTATAAACGGTGAAACCTTCTGAAAGGAAGACTGACTTGTAGCATTTGTCAGTTCCCATGATGCCAACACTTGTAGCTCAGCCCGTTTCAAGCTACCAAAGGTCAAATACCCAGCTAGTGAAATTCTTGAAAATCTAACAGTTGGCTCTTGCAAGCTGGTGGATGGAGTGTCGGATAGTGACCAATGGCCAATGTTAGAAGCACGTTCTGGCACATCACGGGATGCAGGGGGAAGATCTTGGTAGTGAAAGAGGTTATGGACAAGAACAAAAATGGCACATAGGAGTGTGAGGAGAGAAGTCAGTGTGTGAAGAGGAGGCTGGTGAAGGATGCTGTGGCAGGAAGGGCTGCGTGACGTGAGGGCAGGGGTGTTTTCTCTTCATTTTTGAGCTGTTTGCTGTTTTAATAGTGGAGTGCCCCTCCATTCTGTTACATACAAGAGCCTGTGTCATGGGTTGTGGGCACTGGAGGAGGAGTCTCTTCTGATTCGTTGTTGGGGCTTTGGCAGATACCCTTTTCTCTCTCTTCTTGGACATGGTGAGATTGTATTTCCTAGATCCTCTGAAGTTGGGCATGGTCACGTGACTTGCGTCATTTAATGTGATGTAAGCAGTGTGCCATGTGCCTTTCCCCAGCCACGTGACTGGTGAATGTCTTGATGGCGGAAGCCTCCTTGGCTTGTGTCTCAATCACTTGAGGATTTTGGGGAGCAGAGTCTTCAGAACTCTCAATGGACACACAGGGTGAGTAATCAATCTTTGTTGTTTTAAGACATTCAGATTTGGGGGTTGTTTGTTACTATAGCATAATCTAGCCCATCCTCACAGAGACAGGTAGTGACCACCCAAGGGGTAAAAAGCATTGAAGACTGAGTGGAGGCAGCTGCCATGAGAGTGGCAGTGATAGATCAGGGGAGTGGAGTGTGTATGGCCAGGGTAATGTAAGTCCCCAGAAATCCTCAGGAATATGTGGGATGGGGCCTGAGGAAGCATATTTGGCCATCAGAAGAGAGGTGGACCATGAGAGCCTGGGGCCATCCAGGCAACACTGTCATTCCTGAATATACACCCTGGCATCAAGGTCCTCTCCTTAGCAGGGAGGGAAGGCTGCCGTGGGGCAGGCTCAAGCCAAGGATTTCAGCCAGGAGATCCAGTGGTGCAGGCGAGGGACTCTGAGTAAGTCCCTTCCTCCCATGGACCTCAGCCTTCAGAGTCCTCCTGGCTCCAGCAGTCTAAGACCCCAGGCCCTCCTCACTGGTGTCACTCATCACTCACCTGCCTTTTCAGTGTGTCCTGCCCACCTGATGGCCAACAGGAAAGAGCTCTGTTTCCATTCTGCTAGAGCGCATTCAGAGCTAGCAGGTGCCTCTGACCTGCAGGACATGTTTGTGGATGTGTGTATATCGGGGGCGGGGTGGGGGGAGAGACTGAGAGAGACCAAAAGAGACCCTGTGGCCTGAAAGCTTTACCAAGCTGGTCCTTCTTTCAGTCTTCTTTAAAAAATCTTTGCCCTGGAGGGTAATACACTCAATTGGAAGCATTGTTCCAAAAATTCTCACCAAATGGGTCTCTGCTGCCACTTTGAGACACACACACACACACACACACACACACTCTCACACACTCTCTCTCTTTCACTCTCTCTGTCATGACTGATCTGATTTCTGCTCCCCAACATTACAGGGGCTCTGCCCTTTGCACCTACACCCGTCCTCTGACCTATGACCCCCAACAACTTCCAAGTCCACATGTGACATAAACCCACACCTCCCAGGCTGTGAAACAACCGACTTCTTGACTTGGGTTCACACCACAAGCCCTGCCACGGCACCCACCACACTCTACCACAATCAGACCCAAAGGCAGAAACTTCCATCTCTCTAATGCTTCCCGCAGAGCTTGACAACCATTCATTCATTAAGCCCTTATTGAGTACCTACTATGTGCCAGGCCAAAAGAAGGAGTGGCAAGCAACACAGCCCTGTCCTTATGGAGTTCCCACCAGTCCTGTTGGGGCGACAGGCACGCATGGAACCTGCTCTCACGTGGAGAGCTGAGTATGGAAAAGCCATGGGAGCAGACAGCAGGGAGCACCCTCCGGGCCAGGGGTCCCCCAGGGGGAGGTGTTTGAGCTTGGTAGGATGTCACCAGGTAGGACGTATGGGGATGAAAAGGGCATTCCAAACAGAAGCACCCTGTGTAAAGGCCAGAGGCAGGAAGTACACTGGTGCGCGCAGTGACCGGACAGGTGGTGTTTGGGAAAAAGATGAAGTCAGTGGTAGGTGATCTCGAGTCTTCAGTGAGTGAGTGAATGAATGAATGAATGACACGTGGACAACCTCCATCATGAAGCTAATAATCTGGTACTGGGGCTAGACTCCTTCCCTAATCCCTTACAAGGGTTCAATTTGGATTTAGGGATCTGTGTTGGGCGAGGTCTGATACCAGAATGAACTGGGTGGGCTGGAGAGGGGACATCCCTGAACTGCACTCTGGGAGCCCTGTGGGAAGAGGCAACCAGGAGAGTGGGAAGACTGGCAAGCAGAGAGGAGACCTGGGTTCGTCCCAGCTCTGCCGCTTCCCAGCTGTGTGGGCTTGGGCAAGTGACTGGGGCTCTCCCAACCTGGCTCCTCGTGTGAAACACAGGCACTGATCCTATCACAGGATGGCTATGGGGACTGAAGGAAGCGTGCCTTGAAGGTGCCTGTTATCAGCCTAGCAGAGGCGTGTCAAATCGGGAATCTTTTTGAGGTTGTTACTTTTAGTTCGGGGCTTGGCTGCTGCAGAACAAGGTGGAATTATTGGCTTCAGATCTTTGAACATTCCAGGCAGAGCTAGATTCACAGGTGTGATTGGGTCCTATGCTCCAAAGGCCCTGCCCTTGGGATTTCAAGCCCTTTTGTTGAGATTCTTTTTTTTTTTTTAATTACTTTTAAAAAATATTTAAATTAAAGAAAAAATAGAGATGGAGTTTCTCCATGTTGGTCAGGCTGGTCTCGAACTCCCGACCTCAGGTGATCCGCCCACCTCGGCCTCCCAAAGTGCTGGGATTACAGGTGTGAGCCACCACACCTGGCCGAGATTCTTAAAGTAGTTTTCTTTTGGGGTTGCACTGAGTGAGTGGAATCTGATGGGACCATGAGCGCACCGCGGGGTCTTGGAGCCTTGGCTCCTGCGTGGTCTATCTCCTGCGCTGTCTCAGCTCTGTGGATGGCTTCTGGGATGCTTATTCCCCACACTCTGGCATCCCAGGCCCCAAGACCTCTGCTACCATCTGCTCAGGGAGCAACTGGTTAAGTCAGCTGGGGAGACTCACAGTCCACCATCACCCCAACCCTCAGCAGGTACCTGGACATAGGTGTCCCAGGGCAGGGCGAGGAGACAGCCATCCCTGCTGCAGGCTGGCAGTGCCAGGGTGCATTAGGGGGGTGACTTGGCAGGAGCTCCTTGCTCTGGTCCTGCTACTGAGCACATCCTGGCAGTCAGGACGGCGGAGGCTAGGGGTTGAGGCTGGGTGCTCCCAGAGGCTAGGGGTTGAGGCTGGGTGCTCCGCGCCCACCATGAGTTAGGTCAGGAGGCTGCGGGAGGGGAGATTGCCTTCCCTGGCCTGGGCCTTGGATTTTCACCTTTGCATCAGACCCTGCAAATTAGATACCCAGCTGACTTCAGGAGTCTGTGTTTTCATTTTCCCCTCCCTCAGTGTAGAGTCCATGGTCCTTATATGATATGGCCAGATGGTTCTGAGCATGCTGGTGAGTTGATTGAAGATCATTCTGTGTGGGGGCTGATAGCCGGTGAGGGCTGTCTAAGAGACTGAGAGCTAGTGCTTCCCTAGGTTTAATGTCAATGGAACCACCTGGGCTATTGTTAAAATGCAGATTCCAATTCCGAAGGTCTGGGGCGGGGGCTGAGATTCTGCTCCAGGCGAAATTAATGCGGCTATTTCATGGACCATATTTTGGGAAGCCAGGTGCCAAGAGGCTTAGTCTGGCAACAATGCCACCTCCGAGTGGCATTGTTGGAGTGGTGGCTAGTGGGCCCCTGCAGGAGCTCTTATCAAGACGGGTGGAGGGAAGGGGCTGCCTTGGAGTTGAGCAGAAGCCACACTCTAAGGACCTCCCAGTGGCCCTGGACCCTCCAGAGTCTTGGGCTAATGATGCAGCATGCTCAGTCAATATAGTTGCTGACACAGTAACTAGGAGCTTGCCCATAGGAAATCTCACTCGGTCCTCACGACCTGGTTTGGTGTGTATAGAAAGCCCTGTTTTACAGCTGCAGAAACTGAGGCACAGGCACGTTGAGGGACCTGTTCCAGCTTGTTGTCAATAAGCGGCAGAGGTGAGATTTAAGCCCAGTCTGACCACAGGACCTTCTCATTCTGCCAGCGCCAACACGTCTTAAATTTGGAGCCTAGCAGAACTGCAGCTGGGAGCTGGTTCCACCGCCCGTCATATTACCCCTCCGAACCACCCCCTCCCACCCCGTGCCCGATCCTTCAGGAGCCGGGGGTTTGAGCTGTTGTGCCTGGGGCTAGGCCCCAGGCCAGCCTTCTCCGCCCCACCCAGCCCGCAGTCACCTCCGCCTTCAGCCGCTCGATCTCGATCTCCCCATCCTCGATCTGCTGCCGAAGCTGCTTCGCTACAGTCTTCTCCGTCTCCACGATCTGCAGCAGGTGCAGATACTTCTGCATGAGCGCCTCATGCTCCGTGGCCAGGGTCCGGTAGCTGTGGACGGATGGACACGGCAGGTGAGATGCTGACTACTTGTCCCCTGGCGAACCAAGCAGGGCACTGACCGGGAGAGGGGCTCACCCACCCACCTGCACTTAGCAAAAGGCCCCGACTCCCAGCATTCTGCAGGGTGGGAGGGCTTAGCAGGGTGGAGCTGGGGGCAGTCAAGGCAGGGAGACAGCTAGAGGAAGGCGGGGCAGTGGGCCAGACCACAAGCCTGATCCAGAAAGCACGTCTGCATTCTTGTTCCCACCCACTTTTAAAGACAAACAACAGTGCTAGAAGACAGAATGCTTGAGTTTGTAAAGTAAATAAGATTCTGCACTTCTCTTATGAAAATGAATATCAGGTTTTTAAGTTTTTCCCACTTCCCGAGGGACTTAATTGTTTTTCTTTGCAAAGGAAATTTAGCTGAGAGCATGAAGGAGTCTGTTTTTCTACCACCACACCTCCCGCCACCCCACGGGTGTGAAAATTCGGCTGCTTCCATCAGTCTCTTCTAACTAATGGACCCCGTCAGAGTGCTGCAAAACAGGCACCACCCTCGTCACAGCCTGCTCTGCCAGCATCCCTCCCTCCTTCCTTCTGTCCCTCCTTCTACCCTCCATCCATCCTTCTCTCCTTTCCTTTCCCCCCTCCCTTCCCTTTCCTTTCCTTCCCTTCCTGTCCTTCCTTCCTTTCATCCCATCCTTCTATCCTCCCTGTGCAGGTGTGGTCTTGGAACTTGGGATCACAAAAGAGCAGTTATCTAATTTCACACATGAAGAAATGGAGGCCCAAATCACAGTCCATGAGCATCCGAGTTGGAGCTAGAGTCGGGCTCCAGCCCCCGACAGTGCGTTTGTACACCCTTTAGCGGTTTGGTTTTCCAGTTAGGCATACAGTTCTCTCCCTTGAAATCACGCTGTAAAATGCACGATGTTGCATTTTATACCTTGCTGTATATAAACACACACTCCCCACAGAGGCGTCCCGTAATACCGGAATATTATACATACAGCGCGAGAGAACATTGTGTCTCTACATGATATTAATACACTCCAGTGCCTTTTTTCGTACATAGGAAGTATCTATTATGTATATGTAAATAAAAACTAAATTGGGAATATGTAAAAATACTTAATACTCAATATGGCTGTGGAAGACAGCCAGTGTCTCCCTTAACACACACACACACACACACACACACACACACACACACACACACACACACACACACAGAGTGTCTGAGGTTCAGCGATGCTTACAGTTAATGTCCCCCTCTGGTCATGTGGCTAACTCCCTAGACAAGAGCATGATGGCTTCTGTTGTCCCAGGCACTGCCCAAGAAGCCTCAGCTCAGCCAGGATGGCTGATGTTGATGTTGATTTCTAAGGAAGATGCCTTGATTTCCCTTTCTGCAACCATGACTTTGTCACCGCCTGCCCCACCCCCCAGGTTGAATGGGAGAGATTCCTGGGAGGCCAGTGGGCTGACCCAGACCCCAGGGCTTGACAAAGGAAGAAGACAAACAATCAGCATGTCCCATTGACATGTGCCCCTGGCCTCCAGGATGATGTATAAGGAGCAGTTTCTGTTCACAGGTAGGTGGCGTCGATTGCCAGCTGCTCGTTTTTTGGGGAGGGAGGCTTCTAGTTTGTGTTGAATTGCGTCACCTGGCAGTTGCAGAGCCCTAAGCTGTGAGCCAGGATCTAGGGCTCCATAACCCCCTCTCAGGCACACCTGACAGGTCGCACGCCTGTCAAACGGGCTGAAGGGACCCCTCCCTGGGTTGTCATAAGCACACGATGGACTGGGAGGGCTGGACAGACCGCAGAGCAGACAGACACCCTGAGATGCAGAACAATCCACCAGACTCTGGAGGCGCAGACATGCTTGGCAGCATTGATGTCAATTGGATTATTATTATTTTATTGGCTTCTTAGAGCCAGTCCTTAATTTAGTGAATTGCTTGTAAGCTATGATCCTGTCCATGGTAGGCAGGAGAGGTGAGCATGGCCTGCCTGGCACGTGCTGCTGCACTGCTGCCCTGCAGGGCTGCTTCTCTTGTCATCAGCTTGTGTCACTGTGGCTCAGCTGACCTTAAGGGAGGGAGATTGTCTAGATGGCTGTGATCCAATTGCATGAGCCTTGAAAAGCGGGGAGTTTTCTCTGCTGGTTGTAGAAGGAGCAGTGAGAAATCTGAGGCTGGAAAATTGCTGGCTTGAGGATGGAGGAGGCCACGTGGCAAGGAATGTGCACCCTCTAGGACCTGCACTCCCCTCCCCTTTCAGCAGTCAGCAAGGAAATGGGGACTTCAGTCCCATGGCTACAAGGAACTGAATCCTGCAGACAACAAGAACAAGCCTGGAGGCGACAATTTCTTAGAGCCTCCAGAGAAGAGCCCAGCCCACTGACTCTTTGATTTCAGCCTATGAGACCCTGGGCAGAGACAGACCTCAGCCAAGCCTAGACTTCTAACCCAAAGAACAGGGAGGTCAAATAATGGGTGTTGTTTCATGCCGCTGAGTTGGTGGTAATTTCTTATGCAGCAATAGAAAATTAAAACACTCTCTTTAAAACATATATATATATATATATATATATATATATAAAATTCATTTTTAAAATTTAAGGTTTAACATACATATTTTAGAAAGCACAGGTCTTAAGTGCAGTTTGATCGGTTTTGATAAACACATACACTCAAGTCAAGATAAAATTTCCATCACCCCAGGACGTTCTGTCACGCCCCTTCCCTGTCAATCCGTACCCCAGAAGCAGCTACTGTTCTGATTTCTATCACCACAGGCTCATTTTGCCTATTTTAGAATTTCATGTAACTGGAACCAAATAGCATGCACTCTTTTGTGTCTGGCTCTTCACTCAGCAAATTGATTTTGAGTTTCATCCACCCCGTTGCGCGCATTTGTAACTGGTTCCTTTTACTGCTGAGCTACAGTATCCCATTGCATGCATGTACCAAGGTGACTTTAGACATCTGCCTGCTGAGGAACACGTTGGATATTCTTAAGTTTGGACTATCATGCATAAAGCTGCTAAGGGATATTTGCATACAAGACTTCTTATGGACGTTTTTTCATTTCTCTTGGGTAAATACCAAGAAGTGGAATTGCTGGGTCACAGAGCAGATGTGTGTTTCACTTTTTAAGCAACTGCCTCGTTATTTTCCAAAGCGGTTGTGCCATTTTCTCCTCCTGCTAGCAATAGGTGAGAGTTATGTTTGTTCCACTCCTCTTCAACCTTCAGTATTGTCTGTCTTTAGCATCTTAGCCATTCGACTTTATAAGTATTGGTATTTCATTGTCTTTAGAAACTTTTTGTATTGATTGAGGTTCTAAATCAGCGTAGTCCTGGTTACAAAGCCCCCTCACATAAATCACTTTACTTAGTCCTCAAAATAACTGTGCTCTTGGTTCTACTTTAGTGCTTAGGAGACTGAGGTCCAATTATTCCCCCCGAATCTGGGTTCTTCCTCACTCAGTTTTAGCCTCCACATCATGAGCAATTTTTAATTCAAATCATAGTTCTGATCACACTATCCAACTTGTATAAAACCCTTGATGGCTTTCCACCGTTCACAGGGAAAGGTCAAACATCTCAGTGGGATTCAAGATCCAGTTATGATCTGGTTCCAGCCCACTGTCCAACCTCAACTACCTACCTACCTTCCTTCCTTCCTTCCTTCCTTCCTTCCTTCCTTCCTTCCTTCCTTCCTTTCTCTCTCTTTCTCTCTCTCTCTTTCTTTTTCTTCTTTCTTTCTTTTTTTATTTCTTTCTTCCTTTCTTTCTTTTCCTTTCTTCCCTCCCTCCCTCCCTCCTTTCTTTCTCTCTCTCTCTTTCTTTCTTTCCTTCTTTCTTTCTTTTCTTTTCTTTTCTTTCTTTCTTTCTTCTTTCTTTCTTTCTTTTCTTTTCTTTTCTTTTTTTCTTTCCTTTCTTTCTTTCTTTTCTTTTTTTTTCAGACACAGAGTCTTGCCCTGTTGCCCAGGCTGGAGTGCAGTGGCACAATCGTGGCTCATTGCAACTCCCACTTCCCTGGTTCAAGTGATTCTCCTGCCTCAGCCTCCTGAGTAGCAGGGACTACAGGCGCCCTCCCCGACTTGCCATGCCCAGCTAATTTTTGTATTTTTAGTAGAGATGGGGTTTTGATATGTTGGCCAGGCTGGTCTTGAACTCCAGACCCCAAGTGATTTGCCCAGTTTGGCCTTCCAAAGTGCTGGGGTGTCAGGCATGAGCCACTGCACCTGGCCAACCTCATCTACTTTATGACACACAAATTTTGCCTCTTCATTATTCTTGGAATTCTTTTTCCTGTATCAATGCCTTTATTTAAGGCTTTTCTGTGGGGCAGGGGTGGGGAGAAACGAGCATTTCAATGCTACCAATCTAAACCCATTAAGTCCCCAATCCCCTTACTCAGGCCAAATCTTAGCGTTTCCAGCTTCCCCAGATTCTCCCATTTCCCTGCAGATGGAAGTAACGTTCTCCCTCTTGCATTGTTTTATATTTAACACAGCCTCTATGCACCAGAGCTATTTGTGCATGCGTCTACTGTGCACCTGACTAGACTGTGATATCCCTGGGGGAATATTTATGTTGTATCCGTCTGTCTTCCAGCACTGTGAAGTGGGCCTGACTATTGGTTCATACGTGGCAACCTGGTCTCTGTAGCTAGAATGGATATCCCTTGAGGAAAGAAATACAGATCGCCTTTTCTCAGGGCCACGGTCATTGCTATAGTCATAATAAGGGCTTCTCATTAGCTAGCCTGACTCAAGGCTCAAGGAGGGGCCCTAGGATCCATCTATCCAGCCATACATACACCTTCCGCACATGCCTTCAACTTGTCCATGCATCATCCATGTATTCGCTGTCAATTTGCCACTCATGTTTCATATATAAACTCAACAACTAGCTTTGCATCCATCCATCCTCCATCCGTCCATCCATCCATCCATCCTCCGTCCATCCTTCTTCCATCCACCCATCCATCCTCCATCCATCCTCCGTCCATCCATCCATCCTCCATCTGTCCATCCATCCATCCATCCATCCTCCATCCATCCATCCCTCCATCCTCCATCCATCCATCCCTCCATCCTCCATCCATCCATCCATCTATCAATCCTCCATCTGTCCATCCATCCTCCATCCATCCATCCATCCATCCATCCTCCATCCATCCTCCATCCATCCATCCATCCTCCATCCATCCATCCCTCCATCCTCCATCCATCCATCCATCCATCCTCCATCCATCCATCCATCCATCCTCCATCCGTCCATCCATCCATCCTCCATCCATCCATCCATCCTTGCATTCCTCTGACCCATATTTACTTTTATTAGGCCGTGGTAATACAAAGAATCACATCTGGTCCCTGCCCTCAGGAGCTTCCATTTTATAGGCGGTAGACACAGAAACACCATTTTCCACTAAGGTAGAAAGATCCACCTCCCAGAAGGGTGAGTCTGGGTGCTGCTGCCCCCGACGATGCTCAGCTCTGCCAGGCAATTGTCAGTTCTGGGACCACATCCTGGCTCACAAACCCATCATTTCCCCAGGACCCAAAAAAGGACTCAGGTCAGCTTGGAGCCCCCATTTTCTCTGTGGCACATATTGTCTTTGGCTTTCCACTGACCCGGTCCAGGGAGTCTTCCTCCAGGGAGCATTTACTGCTGGGGCAGAGGGGAGGAGCAGGCCTAGAATCCCTGAGTGTCAAAGTTCAGAGAGGTTTAGAATGTCAGTCTCTGGATGAGAGAACCGAGGTCCAGAGAGTGGAGAGGTCTGGCTCACAGTCAAGAAGCAAATGAGTGGCTGCATCTGGGTCAGAATGTGGGAGGCCTTAGACTTCAGGAGCTGCAAAATCCTTTAGCCAAACCAAATCATACTGGGTTCTCCTAATATAAAAAAGGCAGCTAGTGTGGGAGCAGGGCAGGAGCCGCAAAACTCATGGCCTCGTATTCCCTGTGGCACCCAGAGAGGCACATCCCAGATGTCCAAGCTGTAAGGGTGGACTCTACCAAGAGATGCTTCTTACAGCTTTGGCTCTCCTCTCCTCTCCTCCTTTCCCATGCCCTCCTGTTCGTGGGGCTTGGCTTTCTTCAAGAACAGGGCCCTTGGGTCTGGTCTCTTCTGCCTGGACTGTGGGGTGGGGGCTTCCTGCCCTGGCCAAGGAGGCATACCTGGCGTGTGCAATGGCTGCCACCCATTCATCACAGTCTTTCGCGTCCTCTGTCCTCAGCTCCAAGGCTTTCTGGTTCTCATGGCTGAAGTTCACCGTGAAGTAATGCTGTACCAGAAAGAAAACATCGTCAATTACCAGGGTGTCCACAGAATCCACAGCAGCTCCTGTGATCCATCTAGCTGTTTTGCAAAGTGCCTGCTGCCACATCAGCTAGGCACAGATTCCTTCTTTGTGATCATCAGAATGCCATTCTATTTAGCAGTTTCCAATTCTCGATTAAAAGGGCTTTTGTACCGTGTAATAGAACCTACGCTTAGGATATTGTAGGAAGGAAACAAATCACACAAAGCCCTGTTTGACAACAAATTGTAAAAAAGCCAGTTTTAAACCATCAGGCACGCTGGAGGGAAGGCAGGGAACACACGCCATTGGACCACCCTTTTGGGAATTGGGTACCAATTCAATGCAGCATGTGTTTAATTCATGCCACAGAAATGGACTAAGTGTCCGTCTGGATCCTGGGGTTAGAGTGATGAGTAAACAGACACGGTCCCTGTAAGAGCCCACCAGAAGCCCCCTTTGTGTTGAGTGCAGGTGATTAACTTAGAACCACGCCACCCATGGGCCCTGCCCCTTAAGGACTCAGGGAAGCAGAAGAGCCAGACAGTAGACACCCATCTGCAGTGTCGTTATATGAGTTAAATACACGTAAAGCTCTTAGGAGAATGCCTGGCACCTAGTAAGCACTGTAATTGCTATAATTAATGTGGTGCAATCACTACTGTCATGGAGGTAAGAGCAAAGGGCTGTGGGGGCACAGAGAAAGTCACCCACGGACTTATCTCAGGGTGATCAAGAGCACTTCCCAGAGGATGAGACACTGGTTCTGGTTTTATTTCAGCTGAATGGAAGAGCATAGGGGGCAGCTTGTTGTCCAGAGCTCACAGGATATTTGGGAGGGGGAGGGGGCCGTACAGGGATGCCAGTGGGCAGGTGGGCAGGGGCCTGGGGTGCAGCTGAGGGGAGGGGGCGGTGGGGGAGAGGGCGGCAGGGACAAAGCCCAGGATTCTGGTTTGAGCAACTGGACATGTTGGGGGAGTCAGACTGGGTGGGGGCATTGGCAGGAGAGAGGGGCAGGGGCTCTGAGGGGCCAGCTCCATATGCAGAGGGATTTGTCGGAGAGAAAGGGCACACAAACCAAGTGCCAGGGGCCCAGCCTGGGCCTGGGCCTGGTGAAACTGGAAGGAGAGAGGCAGGGGGTGAGCTGCAAAGGAGACCTCAGGTCTGCCATTCAGAGGCTGCATGACAGGCCAGGCACTGAGCCAGAGAAGGTGCCCGTCCCTCAGTGTCCGGGTGGCAGGAACAGCAGCACAAGGTGCAGTGTGTAAACTGATTTTAGCCTCTGCTGACATTTATGTATTTTTGTTAATTGTCAGTCTAGGTGGCAGCGGGTGTATGTGAAGTGGGGGGCGGGGGGATGAGTGAAGACAGAGAGAGAGAGAGAGTTGTCACAGAGTCAATGTCTGTCTTTTGTTTCCTAGGAAACAGATAACTGGGGCTATAGAATGAAATGTCAGCTACAGCCTCAAATAACTGAATCCAAAAGGCTCCGGTGGGCACCCCGCCCCCTCGAGGAGGAAGCAGGTGACACAGTGGTGGTTCGGCTACCTAGTGCCTTCCCTATCTCTCAAGAGATAGTGAACATACAGATGCTTGTTGCCCGTGATCTCATTATTTCCACATTCACCAAGTGGAACAGGTATTCTGTGTGTTACAGCTGATGAACCTGAGGCTCAGAGAGGCTGACCTCCTTGCCTAAGGTCAAACAGTGGGAAAGCAGAGGAGCTGGGATGACACACCTGCAGTGGGCACCTGTCACCTGTTTAGGCCCTGGACTTGGCCTTGGGATGCAAAGACAGAAAGGCAAGGTCCTCATCTCAAGGAGCCTGTAGACAGGTGAGACTCAGAGTCCCAAATCAGAAACAAGGCACTCAGCTAAGCACAGGTACAATGGGGTTGCTGGGTCTCCTTAAAGCCCCAAGGGGAATGTCCCAGAGCTATAGGGGCCCATTGCTGGGACCAGAGCAGGAGTGTTCTCCTTCCTCACTGGGTCACCAGGGGACTCAGAGTTGCAGGGGTGATGGGCTTGGCTGAAGCCTCTCACCGCCCCGCCTCTCGCCCCAAGGAGGCTTCTTCCCAATCAGCTGCCTGAGTGTGTGAGCAGGCGGCTCCCAGCTGCCCGTGTGTGCTGCAATGCCCCCGCAGCCTCACCCTTGCTAGATGGAAACCTAACTGTGAGGGGGATGCCAGGAAGACCCTGCAGGCCTGAACCCAGCCATCAGAGACCTTGAGTTTCTGACCGCTGATGAGGCCCGACTCTCTGTCCTGCAGACCAGGCACAGGGCTCCTGGAGGCTCCCCTGACGTTCTGCCTCTCCCTTCCCGTCACCCGTACAGTTGCTCGTCCTTCTGCCGCCCTGCTACTCCACCTGTGTGGCCTCGGTCTGACTCCATCGCCGCTGCCCCAGGTTAGGCCCACGACCTTCCTCCTGGGCTGCTGCCGCAGCCTCCTAACAAGTGTCCTGCTGGGCGCGGTGGCTTACGCCTGTAATCCCAGCACTTTGGGAGGCCGAGGCGGGCGGATCACGAGGTCAAGAGATCGAGACCATCCTGGCCAACATAGTGAAACCCAGTCTCTACTACAAATACAAAAAAAATTAGCTGGGCATGGTGGCGTGGGCCTGTAATCCCAGCTACTTGGGAGGCTG